ATAGAGAGACTAAAATATACGAGATATAAGTATGTGAAAATGTAGTTTTTTACGTTGTACGGAGATATCTGTCTTATAGTGGGTTTGTTACAAAGAGCATTTACTGTATACCCACTTGTATATTACATGGGAGTTTTTAATAAATAAAATATTTTATTATAAAGCAGATCGGTGGTATATCAATTTTCATCTCCAACAAGTTTGACACCGATTCAACTACCGTTTAGGGTCCAAATTGTACAACTTGCAGTGAGTCAGACACATTTCGTCGCCCTTACGAGTGGTAAACCATAACACAGTATATTTTATAACCGCATAATAATCTTTTTTTTTTATATATATAATTTAATACTTATAATATTATATGATATACTCTTAAGCAATATTATAATGTGATAAGTACAAAATATTTTCTGTTCACAGATTACTCAATTTTCACTTGGGGTGAAGACAAACATGGGCAATTGGGTCACGGTGAAGAAACTCCGTGGAAAAACGATCCACAATGCGTAGTCTCGTTATTGGACAAACACATTACCCAGTTAGTCAATACAAAAAATTATAATAATAAAAAAAAAAAACGATATTAATTACAAATCGTTATATTATCTTGCATTTGATTTCAATAGAGTTGGAGCAGGTCAAAATTTTAGTGTTTTTGTTAGCAGCACAGGTCTCGTAATGACCACCGGCGACGGTAAATATGGTGCTCTTGGTCACGGTGATTGGAATAGCATTTCCATACCGAAACTTATAGGTAGATAAAGATTGCATTATAGTATCAATTACGATAATAATTCCATAATAAAAAAAAAAAAATGGTATTATCGATAAATCATTAAACAAAACAAAATTATTTCTATCCGTTAGACTTTTTACTAAAAGTAGACGTGGTGAAAATTTCTTGTGGAAATCATCATGTCGCAGCATTGACGAATGAAGGTCAACTTTACACTTGGGGTCGTGGAAATCATGGGCAGCTGGGTCTGGGAAATTTACAAGACTGGTAATTACGATGTTTTCTCCGTCTCTAACGATATTGGTTAATATTTCCATWAATTTTTGTGTTTAGCTGTTTTCCGATTTTGGTCAATTGGCATATCGACGAGAAAATCGAATCAATTCAATGCGGTCCCGAATGTACGGCCATAATTACAGACTGTCAAAACGTGTACGCTTGTGGCTTGAATAAATGCAATAAACTTGGTCTGAACCGCCCGTCTTTATTTAAACTTAAAGTAATAATAATATTTTACATATTATACAATATATCAATTATTTTGCTCTTTATGTTCATATAACAATTATATTGATTATTGAYCTCATTGAATAGCACACATACCATCGAAAATATGAATATAAATGGTGAAASGTAATTTAATTTGGTATCATTGTGGTTAAAAAATAAACTGAATGTTAAATTTCTTGTTTATATTTATTATATTATATAATTTATGATTTTCTGATTTCCTGATTTACAATACATATTTAACGTGT